AAAAGAGGACCATGAAGCAACCACCAGTCAACCTGTGGCATAAGAGGAAACTTAAGAAGTATCCAACAACTACCCTGGGTAACTCAGAGCACAGGTCACAAATGTGTTCATAACTCAGATCACAAGTCATAAAAGAATGCACCAGACACATGATAAAACTTCTTATCCGACATCTTTCTGACAGATCTATAAAAGCATCCTCTATATTAATCAACCGAGCACCTTGATCACCATATTTCTCCCCCTTTTTAGCCAAAAGTAGGAAAAGGAAGCCTTCTCAATACCAGATCCATGCATAGCTTGCCCAAATCAGAATAAAATCCATTATGATGATGAACACTCATATGGTGAAAGAGGACATGAGAATCCTCTATAAATAGCTGGTTATAACGATCCTTGAATGTAGCAATAATCTTGGTCAAAGGAAACATAATTTGAGGAGAAATTGCTACTAAACAACAATGTGCACCGTCCAAGAACAACTTTGAACGTCTTTAATAGCTATGGACTATTTTTGCTGAAAAGAACCAGTCCCAATATATACACATGTATAGTCAAACTCACCTTCTGACAAGTTTTTGATAAAACTCTTCATATCATTCCCTTGTTGGTCTTACAGGAAACATGTCCTAAATAATATTCTGACATCCAGTCAGACATTGCAAGCACAAACATTGACCAACACATCTTCAATCACTCTATCTTCCACTGGATTCTAAGTGTTCACCTTTCACTTAGACTTAGTGACATACACCAAGACATCATAATATCACATTTGTAACATCTATCAATAATAATGACCCTTAGAGAGTCCTTAAAAAAAATCTGTAGAGAAAAATATTCTCCCAGACTCAACCATTAACCACTAGAGAGATATATGAACTCTTGAAAACACGAAGCTTCACATGGCTAAGGACCAATCATGCCTTGTCAAGATCACCAATAACTTCATAATGTCACAACATGTTATCTGACATCACATCCTCATTAAAAGACATAAGATCTCCACAAGCTTGAACAATACTCTAGCTAAACAATATTTATACGATTGCAGCAATAATCCACAGACAAATAAATGACTCCTCTTGTCATGAATAACCAATGCTCCAGTTGAAGATGAAAACTTGAGCACTAGATGAAAGCATATGAAAGACTTCATGCTTTCATGTTGAAGGACAACACTTCCCACATATGATGAACCCCGACTCCCTCAGTAGAGTCATACCAAAGTCAGACACTCTCACTCCTTGAAAATACATCCAAGTACTCTGACTTCTTCACAACACATTATTGTCCTTTTATAACCATACGTTATATTATGACCTTTTGAGTAGGCATGATGTCATGCATACTAGGTGTGAAGTCACTCACAATTTTCAAAACTTCTTAGTTTGCTTAAAAATTTTACTAAGATCCAGTTTATCAACACTCATCTGGAGTAACTTGCAACAGAAGAAAAACACTTCCCCAACATACTCTGCTCAGACCTTAGTATCGGTTAGCAATCTTCTGCCCTTACATCCACTGGTAGTTGTTGATACTAGTGGAGTCTTCAACAAAGTAGTCATGCATTTCCCAAGCATATTACTGTAGATAGGATTAGACTCTCTACCTTTTAATCCACATAGCTAGAAATGCCACCTGACAATAATGCTCGAGCATCCCACTACACATGCACAATTCTAAGCATTAAAAACAAAACAATCATCAACAATCATGATGTTAAGACATCATGTGAGACCTTTTTACTTATATTTAAAAAAAAATGCTGCTTCGTTTTTAAATGTTCACTTTATTTCATGATATCGGGATTGGTATTGAAATATTCTAGGTGACATTTTCTAAATTTTCTTCTCTGTGGTAAAAGAAAAATTGTCTCTTTAATGGTAAAAGAAAAACTAGCTTTAGGATTAACAATGGTGACTTGCTTCTCATGTTTTTCATTTGAAACTTTTATGACTAACCATTAGCATTACCTTGTTATTGGATATTGTCACTGAACTTTAAAATTAATTGAATCCTTTAAATAATAGTTCAAAATTCTCTTGAATATCATTTACTAAAGAGATATAAGGAGTTCTAAAACTTTTTTTTTTTTCATTTCAGGAATGGAGGCACAAATCTTGCTCTTTGCATTGTCAAATCCTTGGTGAGTATGATCCTTAATATATAAAACACACACATATAATTACACAAATAGGTGAAGCTTAAATATCAGGAACATGTTATCATTTTAACATGAGAAAGGAACATGTTATTACGTTATCATGTTTTCATTTTTGCATGGATCCTATGATAATGGAGTGGACATGAGATTTGTTGGTTCCATTTAGAAAATATAAGAATATTTTCATTTATTTTGTTAGTAACCTATATACAACGATTTATGCTGTATTTTTAGGTGGATATTGATCATTTGATAAGAGTGGTACTTGCCCACCTAATTAAGCATCCATTTAAAGACCACAGCTGCATTGCAATGATTCTTGGAAGCACTTGTAAGCCAATCAAGATTATACATCTTATTCACTATCTTCTAAATTGATTAAACACTTTAACTTCTTTTGTGTATAAAAAATATCTCCCAATTGGAACTTATATTTATGTGTCTATTAAAGATGTTCTATTATTTTAAAAGTGATGAAGATTAGTAAAAAAACAGAAACAAACTAGCAGTTGAATTTTGTAAAAGTCTCACATTGAATAAGATATGACTTCGAAAGAGAAAAACAATAATGACTATCCCTCGACAATTTGTTGATCATGTTCTCCTAGCATGTGGAATTGAACTTTGGAAATGGAGTGATTGGTGATACTTTATCAGCTGTTTTGTTGTTGGACACGTAATCTTTATTGAAGGACTATATTATCAGATCTTTTTTTGAATATTATTGTGTTATAATTTATCAGATCCTTCGTTGGAAAACATGATTTTCTACCGTCCTTAATAGATTTAAATGTGAGTTACATTCCTCTAGTTGATTTCTTGTCTTAGCTTGTATAATATAAATAGTTATAAATAAAATATAAGTAGGTTAGCACCTCAAATCTATCTAATTGTCGAATGCTTAACGCAATTGTTATTATGTTTGACTAGGATATTGTAAACTAAGAGTTTTTGAGAATCTTGAAAAATAAAGAGCATGAGTAATTACTGAAGTTTCTTCATGTGCTTGATACTGCTAAACTTCTTGGAGCAAAATTGGCAACAATGATATTTCTGCAAATTTGTTTGACTTTGAATGATTGTATCTTTTGTGTTTTGCTTCTAATTACTATATAATTATCTCATAAATCACTTTAATTAAAGATCATTTTATGCCTACAAATGAACCACATTCTTATAAATGATATATGATTTCAAAATGAACCACATTTCTACAAATGATATATGATTTCGAAATGTATTAAAATTCCTAAAACACATTAATTTTTGTTCTATTCTTTACGATAAGTTGTTGTGAATATATTTACCAAACACTCTGTTGTTTGTTTAGAATGATTTGCTTATATTAATTTCTGTATTTTGTTCCTTGCAGAATTGAGACGAAGAAGCTTGTCATCAAGATATGGAAGAAGAACAAGAAGGAGGAGATAATCAAGAAGAAAAATATTATGATGCATGCGTTTAATTAATAGAAGTTGTATTTTATATTATCTATTTCTTAGAACTTTTGTTTTGAATTTAGGATGACTCTCCAGAGAGAAATTTGGTTTTGTTTAAGAATGATAATATCAAAACTTATCTATATTTTGCGACTTATTAGTCGGTATCGTCACTTGATGTAGACTTACTTATTTCTTGTATAATTAGATTTTAATTTTTTTATTCAATATCTACAAAATGAGTATTCTTGTTGGAAGACATTTTATATTGATCTAAAATGATTCTTTATGTCATAGTATGAAGAACACCGCTGTCACAACTATGAGACACAAAAAGAAACCGTAGCCTACTTAAATGGTGTAAAACCATGAGCAAAATTTAGCCGCGGTTTTAATTAGTGGCCATAAAAAAATGTGGCTAAACCTAGACAACTAAACCGTAGGCTATATATTGAATAAGAATCGTGGTTAGATTCGGCCACTGTTAATAAATGAGGCGCAAGATAAACCACAACATTAACCTATATACCTAAACCGTAACCTATTCAAGCCACATATGTATATAAAACGTGGCCCAAACATGAAAATCATGGTGCATAATTTATGCCACGGTTGCATATCCCGCAATCACTTATTCGTAGTCAAAACGTACAACCACGATTATTTTATATATAACTGCAGTTTTCTGGCCGTGGCGGATAACTTTTTTTTTTATAGTGATTATAATTCGGTTTTATTATTTTAGAGCTCTCTGGTGTTCTTTGTTTGTGTTTGTAGACTTTTTTTTCTTCTTTTTATTATCAATTTATGGTTCTTGCGTTGCGTCGCTGTTAAAAATTCACATAGATAAGAAAATTCACAAGAATTTAGTTTCCTACTAATTTTGCAAAAATCGTAAGGCAACGTCCCATGAAAACTTAGTATTTTTAGTAGCATTAGTTAATTTATTTTAACATATGACATTACTTATTAAAATGGAATTTTTCATTATCCAATCATATCAAACTTCCATATTCCATATATCCCTTTCTTTTGAAATCATCAAAGCAGGTCCTGTATTTTGTGGAAGCTGTTCTATTTCATCTCAACTGAAAACACAACGCCAAACCTTTATATTTCTTTTCAACGACACAATTTTTTCCTTCATGGTAGGGAACTCTTTGGCCAAGTCGCATATCCTTATTAATTCTAACATTACAAGTCAACGTTATTGAATTGTTAAACTTCAAACGATAAGGTATGTGAAAAAATCAACAATATCAAATTTTTCTATAAAGGAATAGTACTAAAACATTATGGTCAGTCAACTAAAGAATCTTACACCCTCATCTCACCTTTATAGCACACCCTCACCTCATTTTCATCATTCACCTTCATACAAAACCTATTTTGCAATGTCTATGCTTCCATTTCTTTGTTGTGTGTTTGTTATAATTATATCTCAAGCCAAAGCTGGAGATCCTGTATCATGTGATAACAACAGAGGCAATTACACAGCCAGTAGCACCTATGATAACAACCTTAAAACCCTTTTAACCACTTTCTCTTCTCATACAGAAATTAACTATGGTTTCTACAATTTCTCATACGGCCAAGATCCCGACAAAGTATATGCCATTGGATTGTGTCGTGGAGATATTGAACCAAACAATTGTCTCACAAACATAAACAATTCCTTTACCTATCTCAAACAACAATGTCCAAATCAAAAAGAGGCAATTGTGTGGAGTGGGAATTTAACTTTGTGGTACTCAAATCGTACAATATTTAGGATAGTAGAAACTTCGCCTGCAGATGATCTTATATCTACGAGCACTGTAACCGATGTGGACAAGTACAACGACGCACTGAATAAACTGTTGACAGATCTTAAAGACAACGCTGCATCAGGTGATTCCCGTAGTAAATATGATGCAAATCATGTGTCTGATAATTTGGAAACTATATATGGTACTGTGCAGTGTGTGCCTGCTTTAACATCGCAACAATGTATTGATTGCCTGGATGAAATAATTTTAGAAATTCCAACTTGTTGTAATGGCAAGAGGGGAACACACCTTCTTAAGCCAAGTTGCCGTCTTAGATATGAAACTTATGCCTTCTACAATCCTACCATTGAGTTAGACTCAGTTGCAACTCCACCATCACAATCCACTAATAACACTTCTTCAGGTGCTTCATTTTCACATTTATATATTTTAATATATTTTTGTTTTTCAAAGATGCTGGTTTGAAAATATTAGTAACTGAGACTAAATTTGTGGTGCAGGACACAACAAAACACGTACTGTCGTTGTCATCGCAGTGCTATTAGTTATTGTGGCTTTGGTAGCTATTCTTATTTGGTTCTGTTTGCGAGAGAGAAAACCAAAACACAGTTTTGAAGGTATGCATGCTTTATTATTTTAACCATGAATTAGTCTAGCATTGTCTAAGAGAAGATTTTAACCATGTACCTAAAAAAAAAACTCATCTACCTTGGTAATGTTTGTAGCTAACAATGAAGAATATGAAGAGGAAGAAGAAAGTGAAATAATGGTTGTTGAGTCATTGCAATTTAGCTTTGATACTATCCGAGTTGCTACAAATCACTTTTCAAATTCCAATAAAATTGGACATGGAGGATTCGGAGATGTTTATCAGGTAAGACTACATTTTTCTTCTCATAGAAATATATAATTTTTTTTAGTATTTCTAATAGTGAAAAATTTTAGGGTAAACTTTTGGATGGACAAATGATTGCGGTCAAAAGGTTATCAATAGATTCAGCTCAAGGAGACAAGGAATTTAAAAACGAAGTAACATTAGTAGCCAAACTTCAACATCGGAATTTAGTTAGACTACTTGGTTTCAGTCTTGAAGGAAGAGAAAGACTACTTATTTACGAGTTTGTTCTGAATAAAAGTCTAGATTACTTTATATTCCGTAGGTTATGATATCAACTTAATTAGAAAATTGCATTTACTTAAAAATTATAATGAATAGACAAACATTTACTACTAAAATAGTTTTGAAATTCATTTTTTATCTTTATTTGTGTAGATCCAACAAAGAAAGCACTATTAAATTGGGGCAAGCGCTGCGAAATCATAAGGGGTATTGCACGAGGTCTTCTTTATCTTCACGAGGATTCTCGCTTGCGTATTATACATCGTGATCTCAAAGCAAGTAATGTTCTCTTAGACAATGAGATGAATCCTAAAATAGCTGATTTTGGAATGGCAAAGTTGTTTGTTATCGATCAAACTCAAGGCAATACTAATAGAATTGTTGGAACCTAGTAAGTCTTTTCATATACTATAAGTAGAATATTTATTTCAAATTTTAACTTAGTTATTTGTGTCAAAAGTTTATTCCAAGTTTTTGAAATTTGAATGACATAAGAGCCCAGCCTTTAAAAAAAAAAATCAATATATTTGATTGAGTGGTAATATATAACACTTTTTATTTTAAAATCTAAATAAGAGCATTGTTATTGATACCATTAATCTTATATAACAATTGAAGGAAACTTATTAACTTTAAATTTCACAATATTTTATTGATTAAACATGTCTACATTGATATGCAGTGGATATATGGCACCTGAATATGCAATGCACGGACAATTTTCTGTAAAATCAGATGTATTTAGTTTTGGAATATTGGTTCTTGAAATTATAAGTGGTCATAAAAACAGTACAGCTATTTATCTTGGAGACAATAGAGACGATGTCGACTACCTATTGAGCTATGTAAGTAACATTTTTTCACTAAAATTTATTGAAATTTATATATGGCCTAACTAAATTGTATTTTGAATATCTGCATTTGATCAAATTTGTACAGGCATGGAGAAGCTGGAAAGAGGGTAGAGCAACAAATATTATAGATCCATCATTAAACAACATTTCACAAAATGAAATAATGAGATATCTTCATATTGGTTTACTGTGTCTTCAAGAAGATGTAGAAGACAGACCAACGATGGCAAGTGTTGCACTCATGCTTAATAGTCATTCTCTCACTCTTTCAATACCTTCGAAACCTGCATATTTTTATGGAAGTGAAACTAGAAGCTTACAAAATATGCAAACACGGGATGAAAATCCTAATATAGCAACATCACGTGAATCAATTAACGAGGCTTCAATTACTGATCCATATCCTCGTTAGATTTCATTCATAAGAATGGTATATTTTTTAATGAGTAAATCACTAAATTGATTTACAAAATTATAAAGCATGCATCTCTAAAATTTAGGAATAAACAAGGACATCTTTGAGTTTATAATGCGGTGGATTAACGAGTATAATAAATTTGTGTATTTTTAATTCATTAAATAAAGTGCCATTGCATTATAATGTTTTTGTAAAATATTTGTGTATGACGATTTTTTTAATTTAAAATTGTTAATTTATAAATATTAGTAATTTATTTATGTTAATATATAAACATAAATAAATGTTTCAGTGAAAAATTGAACCTTGAAGAAGCAGTTTACACATATTTTAATGTTCAATATTTTCTTAGTTTTTTTTTCTTTCATTTTTTGTATCTCGCTCTCTTTTATAAGTGTTATAATTAGGTTCAATATTTATGAATTTTCAACCAACACTTCATTATCTATTAGTTCATTGAACTCCAAAAGAAGAAAGTGTTGATTGAAGATATACAAGCAATAAACCAAATTATAACTTAAAAGAGAGAGAAAGTTACATAGAATGAAAAGAAGAAAGTTGGAAAAACCTTGATCGATGTACGTTGTTCTCTAAAATAATTTAATTTTTTATATTATAAATTTCTAATTCAATTATAAAGGTTATTTAGTTAGTGACGAGTTGGTAAAACACTCAAACCACATATGACATAATAAACTCATCTAATAGAAATGTTGGTTTAACGTATTAAAAGCTGCAATAAACTAGGTATATCATTAAAAAATAATAGCATAAGACATATAAATCATCATCAACAACATCAATTTTTATCAACAACAACATAAAATTTTTATCAACAACACACAATTTTTATCAACAACAACATATATCTACAACATCTAAATCATGCATCAACAACATCTAACTTTTATCAACAACAACACACCTTAATTAAACAAAATACAACATATAACAATAAAAATTAAATCAACAACATAAAACTTTTATCAACAACATACAACTTTTATTAACAACAACATATGTCAACAAAAACTAATCCCACTTTTATCAAGAATAACACACCTTAAAGAAATACAACATATTACAATAAAAACTAAATCAATAACAACAAACAAATTTTATCAAAAACACACAACTTTTATCAACATACAACATATATGAACAAAAACTAAATCATCAACAATATTCAACTTTTATCAACAACAACAAAACTTAAACAACATAAACAACTTTTATAAAAAACAATAACATATAAACTCATAAAAAATTTCAGGAACTTATTTGTCTTAGAATGACATTCACAATATTGTTTAACAGTTAGAATTAATTATTATTATTATTATCATTATTACTAATTCAAAAAATATATTAAAAACAAATAAATAAATAAATAAATAAACAAAAAACAAGAATTTAGAAGAAGCGACTCTTCTTCTTCGCTCAAAAAAACTCCTCACTTCAACAAAACATCAACCTCCATAACCTGTAACAAAAATCAAACACCAAATCATGTTCACAAATCATCATCAAACAAATACCTAGATCATCATCTTTCAATTAAACAACCACAATTCTCACAAAATTCACAAATCAATAAGAAAATTATAGTTACATGAACATTTTAGCATAAGCAAAATGGGATCCACACTTCATTGAACCGACAACGCCACTCCCATGCAGGGCCTCCGGTGATCCCCTCACCACCTTTGTGCAGATACTCCGCAACGATACCCCTCTTATGTGACCGCATGCAGTCCACTCTGTTCAGCCACTTCTGCCGCCGTCTATTTCAACCGCACCCACCGTTTTGGACTGTGGTGCTCTTGTTTAAGTCTAAATCGAAAAGGGGAGATGCATGTGTGTTTTATTGTTTAATGTTTGAATGTAACTATTGTTTGAATGTGACTCACTACCGTCCCTCATCCTCTTCTCATCAATCACTACATCAACTCACTTCTCCTTTAGTCATTCTCCTTCACCAAAAACAACACCACGATGAACAACACCGTCACTATCTTCTTGAAGTTGTGATTTTCGTTCTTCTATTGTTTGAAAGGTTTATGGAATTTATTATGTTTTAGAGTTTGATACTTTTAGGTTTTTCTATTTGGGATTTTAAATAATCTTTGTTCTGATATTTTGTCTTATGTATTATGTTATTGTTTCATTTTATGACAATGAATTGGACATCTACGATGGGCATTTACATGAACATGAATACCTTACATTTACATGAGTTATTGCTGAAGATTTCAATGCTTAAGAAACATATCTATTTGTATATAACAAATCTTTTGAAACTTTCATTAAAGGAAAAAAAATTAATTGCTTAAATTGTCATGTCTCTGTTTGGAAATTTGTTATTTGTTTTTTCTGGAGTGAAATTTTGTTATTTATGTGTGTTGTATAGTGCATGCATAAATCTGATGGGAAATAGTCATTTCAAAACTAATGGTTATGCATTTTTTGCAGCTTTCCGTTGAACATGATTCGCACAACCAGTTGAAAGACTCGAATAATATCGTTGAGGAAGAAATATTGAAAGTCCTTCTTTAGGATTAACCGTTGATGAACTGACAGTGATTATCATTTTGGGCCTTCAACTATTGCGGACTGTGTCAAAAAGGAACTTCACCAATTGGGTGGTTGTAACTGCGATGAAACTCAACTTCCTTTTACTACCGTTGAAGGTTCGTCTGGTGAGTTTTCGGAAATTATCCTGATGAAACAAGTCACATTTGAAGTGACTTAGGCGAGTCAAGTTTTTCTGCCACAGGTGCAGTATCAGGTCGTATAAGTTATTCAGGGCCTATACCTTATTCTGGAAGCATCTCTTTTCGATCTGACAGTAGCACTACTAACACTTAATCCTTTGCCTTTCCTACATAAACTTCTAGAAAACCTTTTAATTCAATATACTTTCTGAATGGAATAGTTTATACATAAAAGGTTCTAACGGGACTTGATTTTGATCTTGTGCTTAGAGACTGCAATGTGAAATGAAACAACAGCCACATGAGAATGGAAAAACTTGATAGCAGCCCAGTGAGACTGTGATAGATTATGCTAGGCTAATTTTAGATCTAAATTACATAACAGATAAAAATGATAAAACAACTTTTCTTCATTACTCAACAAGGATCAAACTTACATATAGCTAAGGTTTGCAACTAATGGGCCATGGACCACTTAAAAGAAATAAACGGACAACATAAATAAAATATCATGCTAAAACTAACCCCTTAACTCGTGATAAAATCTTTGAATAATATTGAAATCTTCTTTTCTTCAATGGACCTTGTTGGCTTCATAACAATACTTTGGGGCCATAAAGATCCTTCAAGGTTCATGAATTTAGTGTCATACAAAATTGGGCTTGAGTGGGTCTTGGGCTGAATGGTGGCACTGTAAGAATTTACAGAGGTTTATAGTGACAATCGTATTTGCTCGTAGGTATAGATTTGTGAAAATAAATAAAAAAATAGAATACTGAAAATTTGCGTAAATGAATTAGAAAAATTGATGAAAATGTAATTAAAACAAAAATGTACTAGTAATATGAAAAAGCGCGTGAATGAATAACTTATTTTCATCACCGCTCAAATTGGTTTTTCCTAAATCTTTTGTCCCTTGCTTCTCCATTCTTTTGCCCCTAAGAAACAAACCACTTTTGTTAGGGTTTTTTCAAATTCCTTCACCAAACAACCACACAACATTCAAATCCTAATCATATTAGCTATGGGTTCATTGTAGAGAAAAGAAACCCTGTCGTAGAAATCCACTACCAAATATCCAAAAGTCGAATGCTTGAAGTCATCGTCTCAGCTACTTCAACGCCTCATACACCAATTCTTCGGTATTATTGTGATCTTTCATCTTCGATTTCATGTTTCATTATAGTTTTTCTTCTAGATTATATCTTTCTGCTTACGATTTTTATATCGACATTCTAACATGTTTCATTATAGTTTCTTTCAGTTCCGTGACATCGCCTCTGCATTATCGACATCCCCACTGCATTGTCAACATCACCGCCGCATTTTCGACATCACCGCCATATTGTCGAAATTAACACAGTCAGGTACTCTTAAAAAATGATAGTGTAACACGGTGGGAGAACTGACTTGGTGTTTTGCGTTTTATCGCAATTGTTGCAGATAACAAGAGTCGCCACCGACTTTTCTTTTATCCAAATAAAGGAAAGGGTGAAAAGAACAGGAAAGACCTTTGAATTATTTTCTTGAGTTCGGGGGGTAGATTATGAAAAGGGAATGTGTTAGCATCCTTTATATCCATAGTTATCTATGGACTCTTAGTTGCTTGCTAGATCATTGCTTTTGTTTGAAAGTGTGCTTTGTGGTGGATTTTGAAAGTATTTTTGAAAAGTGCATTCGTTTAGGCAAACTTTGTAATGATTCTCCTCTCTATAAGAATGTATACAAAGTGTTGGACTTTTGAAAATATTTCATGGAAAGTGTTGGTGCATTTGAAAAGGTGTTTGTATTTGAAGATGAGCAAGCAACTAGAAACGTTTCTACCTACTCAAAAAGTCTTTGCTATTTTCCTCCTTTGATATTGCTATCTTACCATTGATTGGTAAGAAGCCTTATCTTTGGATGTAAATGGACGGGCGTGGGTCCTCGTATAGTCATGATAGCAATGTTGTGAGATATCTTAGCATTTCTCTTGAGGGACTAAGATCATTTGTAAGACAACATTCGAAGCGTCATTGAGGGACTATGATCTTTTGATTGTTTTTGCTAAGATGTCTTACATGCGTATTATGACCATTTTCTCAAGACAACAAGTGGAGTTAACCCTAGAGGTGCACATGTGCAAATTGTGTTTGATTGCATGCATTTTTTCTTTTTGATCAGGGTGGTCTACTTGTTGATTTTATCTTGCCATACACCCTAATTACTAGCATTTTATATAGTAAAATATGCAGAAAGATAAAATTATACACTATTATAACCATATTGAATTGCATGAAA